GATTTAGGACAGGTTTTCGACTAGTCTCTTGGACTTGAAGTGTCCGTTTGGTAGCCCTCCTTCCCGGGACGGTTGACTATGTATTCGATCGCAATTCGTTCGTGCGGGGTTGTTTGCGGTTATCCCCTTTGTGATATCGTTGTATCATGGTCGTTTCGGTTCGGATGTTTGGCAATGTTCCCAACCCCACCGGTTTTATCCGCCGATGCTGCCATCCCAGGTTCTTCTCCCGCTTCCTTGGTTGTAACATCGTTATCGTCGTGTGGGTGAGGGTTTTGGGTCGCCGCATTTATCCACCCCCTCCACTTCATGATTGACTAGAACCCTCCCAGATTTGATTTTTTACTTGCAACCAAGACGGCTCACGGTGGGCTCGTGTTCTTGTGAGGTAGGCGCGTGACGGAACATTACCATGTTCGCTTTGGGCATTATCAGACGTATTCGCTGCGTTATGACGTCATGGCAAGATTCAGGAGTTTATTCGAGTCATTACAGAAGAGCATGTCGTGTCTGTGGTTTGGTTCCATTCCGGCCGCATGGTGTACATGTACAGCGATAGGAAGCCATTAGAGTCTAGGATATCAGCAACAACCCGCATCTGCTGCAGTTCCTCCCAGCCCCAAGGTGATTGGAGTGAAGAGGAGCAAAGAACAGAGTGCATCGATCATTCGCGTCCTATTCGTTGCGAGGTCGGTGTGTGCAGATTGTTGTTCATAACGTTTGTGACCCAAGTTTTCCCAGTAACAGGTTGGAGAAGATTTTAGTGGGTGTTGATTTGCCTGTGGTAGTATGGTGTGCAGTAGACCGTTTCTCACGGGGAGGTACAAAAGAGAGGCAATCATAGTGACTATTTTGCGCACGGGGAGGTACAGAAGAGAGGCAATCATAGTGACTATTTTGCGCATGATACCTCGTTTGTCAATGTTTCTCCTTTCGCTCTCTCTTTGTCTGCTCTACAATGGGTAGTGCCGACCTGGAAACAATGATTCACGAACTAACGACCACCGAAAACTGGTTCCGTTTCCATGATGAACTAGGAAATATTTCGAACCCCACACCATTTTTCGAAGAAACGTTGCGTTGGGTCGTCGACTGTTGCTCAGAACTTCCTCCTTCGACTAAGATATCAACAAGACAAGTATGGAGTAAAGGTTCCGCACCGAAACGTTTATCCTAGTCCGTGAGTTGATCCGTTGCGGATATCAGAAGGTACCGAGCAGAGACCGGAACAGTTTGTACTGTGAAGACAGCAGCAGCAACAGCAATCGACAACAATAGAACAACGACAATAACAACAACCAAGCGATTCGACTCTTCCAACGGGTATGGGGGAGGTCCATTTGACCCCCGGTGTGGCTGGCATCCCGGATAACGGACTTACAGAGACCCAAACGCCTTTGGTGAACGTCTTTTACTCGTGGAACAAGTGTGAGTGGCAATGTCACCGCCCTATACCAACATAAAGCTTATCCGTTCACCTGCACCAGCCACAACATATAGAAGTACCGCGGTACAATGCCTGCGCATGAAAAACATTGGGAGACCACATCATTCGCACCACCCACATCAACACCCACCGATGACCACCAATGACACATTCACGAATCTCGCCGTTGACCATCGAACGTACCTCGCGCCTTCGGAGAAGATGCCGTCCGCTCCAACAGAACCGACAATCGACGAGCTGGTACGAACAAGCAAGCATGACTCGTGCATGTCGAATCAAAACGTTGTTTTACAGTTTTTCATTTTCGATACCCGTTCCCTCCCTCCCTCAAGTACATATATTGACATCGTCAGCGGATGCACTGGTCCATCAAACCTTTTCCGCGCGAAGAACACTCACTCGCACCACAAAGCACAGCCACGTTGTAGTGATTCTTGACGCTCCTCCCTTGAGCCTTGACGCCCGCTCCACTCCTTCTTCGCCTCCGTGGCCGTTGTGACTGTGGTCGACTGCAGGGAACTGAGTTGTAGCAGGAACAACCTCCGAGGTGCCACTCCACCACCTGCGGGCTGCCTGGCGTAGCGAAAACCGCACAGCTACAGAGGAAACGAGATCCACCCTCCCACTTCCGAGGTACCACCCCCTTCACCACCGCCACCAGGTACATTGCCGCCACCAGTCTTGACAACGGCCATGTCGCCATCCTCATCGCGCCCTTTTTCCTCATCCTGAGTGCCGCTCCCGGTGTTGTTACCAAGACCTCTGCCCCGCTCTCCGCCCCCGGTGCCGGCATCTTGGTGCGCTGCCGAAGACAATGAAGGAGCTGGTCCTAATGAAGACGACAACAACATCAGTCCCACCAAGGGCAAGCACCTGAACGGGCCCAGCACGCCGTCCGGACTGGAAGGAGAGGGAACCTCTGTGTCAATCGGTGAGGTCCCGGTATTCGGCAGCAAGAAACCCTCGGGGACGGATCTATCTCTGCTTCAGCTCGGCCGCGTCGACGATGCGACGGAACCCCTCCGTCTCCACGAAATCCGTCTGGAAGTTGGTCTATTCTCGTTAGTTTCAATGTGGTTGGAGCAGCGAAAGGGTCGGACGTGGAGAAGGGGGACGGGAGTTTCTTATGTTCTTATGAAGTGAGAGCTAGCAGTGCCCCAAAGGCGGGTGTCGGCCGTGGACGTAAGCTGCACGAGACCGGTTGAAAACAAAATGCGAGGTGGCAGCGTGGGATGGGATGCCAGACTGTAACCTACCGAGAGCAAGGGGAGGTTGGGACTGTGGCTTGACAAATGCAATCCCCTTCCTTTCTGCCTTACCTCCATAACGTCCAGAACCTCGGCCCTAGCGTGGTCGAGAATGTCGTACGCCGTCGCATGCGTCGACAAAATCTCATCCCGACACTCCCCGGATATGTTTACCTACGAATGCAAGTAGCAGAATCGCCCCAACCAAGAAGCAAGGGAGCGCTTCATTGATAGCCTTGCACGTAGGGACACTGAAGACGAGGGGGGGTTGCTCGTGCATGCGTGCAGGCATACGTGAAGCGTGATCCCGATAAAAAAACCAGCACACAACAAAGCATTGTGTCTGGCATCACTCCGCACCTGGTCGGGGACTCCTTCCCTGATGCACTGGTCCACAATGTGCATTGTCGCCGCCTGAAAGCAAAAAGGCGGGGGGTGGGGGAATGGTCGAGGTGGGAAGTACGACGATGTGCTCGTGAGGTTGCCGCTTCGTCAAACATGCTCTCCAATTTCTGAACCTTCTCAAAGGCCCAACACGCTGCAGAGAGTACAGGTTTCCAAGAACGGAGACGTGTCATTGGCCGGTCCTTCTTCGTAGCAGCGATCGAAGAACAGCCTCGCCTCCAAATTCAAGAATATGTTTCTTGAACGGACGAAAAAGATGCCGCAGTTGACAGTATCGTCGTCTATTTTTGCAAGCAAAGACATTGGATGACCATTTGCTCTACTCGACAATATGGTATAGGTGAACCCGATGCGCGATTCTAGCACCCACTGAAGAGTCGATATGTGTTCGATAAGCAATCCCGTCACCTATTAAAAATACATACAATCCAATATGTATCGATATGTGATGCCATTACGCCGAATGTAACCAATAGGTTTGATATGGAATCTCACCACCCGATGAAATACCAGCCATGTACATCGATAAGTGATGCCACGCCGAATGTAACCAATAGTTTTGATATGGAACTTCACCACCCGATGGAATACCAACCATGTACATCGATATGTGATGCCACGCCGAACGTAACCAATAGGTTTGATATGGAATGTCACCACCCGGTGAAATACCATGTACATCGATACGTGATTCCGATAGCCGGACATTGAAATAACCGATCGGTATGTATCGATAAGCTATTGAAGGAACTTGCCTACATGGGTAAGCGATTCCAACACCTCCTGACCAACCAACACGCCTATTCAATATTCTATGCTCCAAGGTGTGGATTCCGGACGTAGCGTGCAGCCTCGGTGTAAGACCATACTCTAAGCAATCTTTGCCGTTTGGTGGGTAAGCGAGTTGGACGAAATACGCATACCCCACAGACCACAACAGAGCGTTCTGTGAAGCGTCCTTGCCGATGCCGCTCTACCTGTCTGGCGAAGTACTCCTTGATCTCCTCCCTGTCTAGAGAGTCGAGGTAAAAGTCCACCAGCTCATGGCCCACCTTAGTCTTGACGTATCTCCGAAACTCGACCCGAAGTTGCTCTACGGATAGCTACTGCGCCAAATTGGCTTTAAGCTAAGTATAGGACACAGGGATGGGGATGCGCAGACGCCAGAGCATGGTGTTGTTGTTTTTGTTGTTTCTCACATTAGCTCTCTAGTCCACCAAAAATGGGGAGCCCGTGGTCTCAAAACCCGGCACATACGACGCCGCGGGGAAACAAAACAAAAAATAGGGTACAAACCACTCGGAAAAAGAAAACAAAATAATAGAAAGAAAAGAACAGCTGCCGCACCGACCGTTCGAGGAAAGAGCCCTCGGAAACCGACAAAAACAAACAAAAATCAAAATCAAGGAGGACGCTTCCCACACCCGCCTAAAGAAAAAGTCAAAGGGTAACGTAGCAGCGCCAGACACCACTCACCAGGGCATGGGAGTAACGGAGCAAACAGGACAAAGAGGCGGCAGATGGGCAGACAGCCAGATGTACAAAAACAAAAGCAACAGCAAGAGCGAGATCACGGTACCCAACACAGCAGAGTAGGCAGGGAGGACATGAAAAAAAGAAACACAGCACAGTCGCCGAAGGCAATGAAAGGACATACATAAAGGAGTACCATAGCATTCAGCAGGGAGGGAAACAGGGCGCAACAACATCAGCCGGGTACATAATTCGCCACAAGTGCTGCCTCGGCCGCCCTACTCGCTTCTACAGCAGTGAGTGCTCGGTCGCCGTTTCTCCCCCCCTACCGCCGCTGTCCCGACTCTCTTTCTCTTCGGTCCTGAGATGGCCGTACTCTCTGCTTGTGCTTCCCTCGCGCGCTGGCGCTTCGTGGACGCTTCCGCCTCCTGCCTGTGCAATTTCCTCATGAACCATGCCGCCCCGTCCTCGACCTGGTTGTACCACACCTCCGGGTTCTTGGTGCTCTCTTTCCATTCACCCCCTTACGTTTCGTCTCTCATGTTGAAGGCCACGAGATCCTCTCCTAGACGAGACACCCAGTCGCTCTCCTGCCCGCCCCGGTATCCCACGCCCCCCGCCATCGCTCCTAACAGCATGCGCTTGGGGAGGCGGTTATCCTCCATGCGCATAACAAAGGCCGCGAAATACAGTCTCCGTTTGCGCATGGTGGCCTCGATGGTTTCCTCGCAGCCTGCCTGGATAAGGGCCTGGGCATAGGACAGGGGGCGGTCTGAGCGTTTCCGCTTGCTCCAGCCGATGCACCGTGTAAGGAACTGGCGGTGGGTCCCATTGAGCTTCGTGTAGTGCTCCGCTGTTAGGCTCCACGAGGCGCACCCATACAGGAGAGTCTCCACCACTCAGCCTGGAGTAGCCGGATCTTGAGCTGGCGGTCGGCCCGTCGCCTGTCGTACATCGAAGCACTGTTCCGGCGGTCGCACTTCCACGCTCGGCGGCTGCGACTCGTGAAATCCTGGTCGGCTTTCCCGTCCGCGGAGATTGTACGTCCGAGGCACACAAACCGATCTGTCTGCTTGTACGTCTGGCCGGCGACCCTGACCGTGAACGGGCGTTCCTCGATCCCTTTCGGCAGCATGCTCATGATCTCCGTCTTTGGCTCCGACACCATCAGTCCGAACAGGCCGGCCACGCGTACATGACCGAAATCATCTTCTCGAGACTCTCCGGCGAGCGCGAGACGATGGCCGCGTCGTCAGCGTAGAGCATGGCCCACAGGGCCTCCGCGTCCGTCACCACCGTCGCCTTCTTCCCCGCCGACCTGCCCTTCTTGCCCGTGTACTCCACTTGTGTCCCGATCTTGACCATGTATGGAAGCATGGGATGTATTGATGATGACATCCTCGTTGTCTCCTTCAGCGGAAATAGACGCGAACAAACCCGCTCATGTCTCTTCCGTGCTAACTGAACGTTTGGTGGGCGGGAGTGTGAAACATGCCTTCCCTCGAGCTTTGCCTGCCAGAAATGCGGTACTCTGCAGGCCGAGGAAAACTGATGCAATGTCGATAGAACGAATAGGCGGGGGAAAATTCGATAAGATGATGACGATTGTTGAATATGCTGCTGTTCCAGCAGTATCACGTCTCTTGCGATCCAAACCACGAATAACTTGTATTTGACTACCCAAACACGAGTGATTCCGAAAGGTGTGTTTAGAACGGTACTGGTCATGAGCTAAGACGAAGCGATAGACCCAGCGAGTTGGGAACATGAGGGTGCTTCCGCCGGTTCAAGGCAATAGAGTGTTGATGTAGACATGGGCTGGTCCAAATACCCGGCAGACCAGGGCGAGAGCAATACACGTGAATCGCGACACCACCGTTGACTGACACGCACACGCCGAGCACTAAAAGAAGTAAAAATCAACAACGACCAACAACCAATGATTACTGAAGCCACGTGTCGTGAGGGAAGGTACCCGAACCTGCGCGGGCGAAGGCATCTCCGAGAAGCCCTGGGTGAACGAGTACAAGTATTCCGCGTTCCCGGTCAGTTTCATCCTGAACGGCTCCCCCATGGAACCCCATAGCAGCGTGTACTTCGACAACACCGGTTCTGGGTGGTGGCATGAGTACAGGGATGCGTGAGACAAGCCAAGACTTTTACCACGACGGCATTGTAACCACCAGCAAGGGTTTTATCGCTAGCACGTCTGTTGAACGAGCACGAACAAAACTTTCGGATCGGACGCCTACAGTAAATCGCTGCTCGTTTTCCTAAGGCCAGGGCGCAAACCAAATGACCACCACAACCTCTCACGAACGATAGTCATACACCAAAGAAGCACACAGCAACGTGGATAGAGACTCACACACGATGGCCACTCTTCTGACGCAGGAGTAGTGGCCGTCGAGAACTATGGCCACCATGATCGGGGAGCTAAACAGGAGAAAATTCAGGCACGACAGGTTCCACTTCATCGACTCATACTCATTGAACTGCTTCCGGACCCACCTCAGTTGACGGGCACACACAAGCCTGGGGTTGCAGCACCAGCAGACAAGGGCAGTCAATGAAAGACCGGGGTCGAAGGAATTTGTAGTGTACGTGATCTCCATCAGAGACAAAACAACGCCGACAATGACACAGACAAGGGCGTCGACGACCACTATTAACGACAGCCCGAACAATAATATACGGTGGAAATGGACAGGTACACGTGCTTTCGACTCGACTTCGTGAAAAAGAGGGCCATCGTGGGAGCATAGACCTCTCCGCTTGTATCGCCGTTTTCGAGTCCCAACCAACACACATGAGAGCGAATATCAGAAGCAAATCCACAATATATGTTCGGTGCGACTTGCCCTGTCCCGAATTAAGCAAAACTGTAGCAGAGTGTCCTGGCTCGTGAGCACACTCGCTGGAGAAAATAAGATCTCAACCGTGTCGGACTTCAAAGATTACGGTGATCACCGCGGGTCGGAGCTCTGCACTAGAAAGCGCGGCACCGTCCCACGAACTGGCACAATACTTTCATCATACCCCACGAAATGAGGGTCGCCTGCACGTTTTCTACGTTTTTTCTAAAATCCCCATGGGCATTCTCATGAGCATGCCCATGGGTAGCCCGTGGGCAGCCAATGGGCGGCCCATGGCGACCCATGGGAAGCCCATGGGCGGCCAAATAGAGCCATTCCAACCGGAACCAGTGCACTACAAGAAATAGATTACCTGCCTCTGGAACGGGCATTACAGCGGCTAATAACCCTGACACTAACCCTAAGCCTAACTCCAAGCCCGCACGGAACGTGCTAGGTTGGCGTTTGTCACTAAGTTCTATGTTGATGTGCAGGTGGCGAAGTCTAGAATGAAGTGCCCACGGTGGGCACTTCATGGGCACTTCACGGGCCGCCCATGGGCAGCCCATGAAGTGCCCATGGGTGACCCATGGGTGTCCCATGGACGGTCTAGCAAAACTGTCATTAGTGTGAGAGATTTGGGAAATGAAGAACAATTGTTTCTCGGATGGATACGCAGGTTCCACTTTCAACATCAAGACCCACAAGGGAACGGGGCTTCTGCATCGTTCTCGCCATTCACAAGTAAGTGCGACAAGAACGCAAAGGCAACGCAGCGAGCGACGACCCGGCTGGTGCACCATCCACTTCGGTTTCGCCGTAAGATGAATCCCGACGCCCAGAAAGATATCACGACACCAGAAAAGATGGGGCGACAATTCGTTCGAATAGTCTACACACGAAGCAAACCAAAACAGTGATAACTGACTGCAGTACACCGACCCATTCTCTACACCTCCACCACCTCGCCCCCCATCCCCTCACCAAAGACACAATATTATGGAGAACCCAAAAGCGTCCATGGCCAGCACCACTTGCGTCGCGCCCGTCGAGGTGCCGCAAGAGTTGGCAGTTTCGTCGAAGAAGTAAAGGTCTGGGTCCAGGATGGCCAGCAGCAGGGGTATCAGGCCGGATTCGATAGTAGCAATGCCTGGACCCTGAAGAGTCGAGTTGGACATAGGTAGAGACAAAGACAGAGATTGAGATGGAGGCTCAGACGAAGACTGAAACGGTGAGCGCGGGAGAAATTGCGGAAACACCAAGTTCACAGCATACCGCACGTCAACCAGGGCGACACAGAGAAAGCAGGTTGATTTCTTCGAGAAACCGGCAAGTTGATTGCCCAACAGGACAATCAAAACTACCGGAAGCACCAATTATTGCCGTGCACAAAAATAAATTCCCTATCGTCCAACAGAAACTGAAGATTGTTTTGACCAAAACGGTGACGGTAACAGCCGAAAACGAAGACGACGTCCACAACTGCGACGGCAATGAGCGTTTGGCTTGTTTCATCGCGTACTCACCATCTTGACGACCATATCGACGTTCTTGGTGACATTCGGGGGTCACTTCCGCCAACGAACTATAATAGATGGATACACGCCTAGGGCAAAGACTTGGCATGCACCAACCATTCCCAGAACGAGGAAATCCACCATGGACAAAGGATGCCATGCTTCTTCGTTCCACATGTTTTGTCACGTCTCTAGGAAGTCCACGTTCAATTAGTACGTCGAACTGATGGCATGCCTTGCAATATTCCCTGTCAGGTTGGGTGGGGGGGGGAGGGGGGGGGGGACTTACTCATGACTTGTTACCTATCTCTTTCAGGCCAGGCCCGGGGTCAGTTTTCGAAGGTCTGGCATGGGAGGTCGCACGAGGTGCATCTTTCCTGCCGTAACTCTTGGTGTCTCTAACGCTCTCTGGAGTACAAGTTCTTTTGTGCCATCCAGTCAGAATTTCTGCGAGGTTTCCAGGGACCCGTGTGGTGGAGTGCTTTAAGCAAAGCATGTTCTGTTGAGACAAAGAGCAAGCATCGAAGAAGAAAAGTTTCTAATAATCCGCTGACGCCATGGATTCATTGTTAATCTATCTTACATACTCTTTTCTTCGAAATATTATATGGATTCGTTGGGTCATACTGGCAAAATAAAAATAATAGCTGAGCAGAAACCCCGGGTGCTATCAAGTCTTCGTGATGCATTAGGACTGATTCCCGGAGACTTCGTAGCTTTCCTGGCATAGAGCAGACCCATCTATGCCGCAAGTATCCACCTACCACGCAATCGCCGAATGTTCCGCCGGCTTGGGCAGGTTGTTTGATTATAGTTGTTTGCTGAGTGTTTCAGACTCTGTGCAGAGTACATACATGCGCCCTTTTGGGGGAAACCGTTATTGTTGCGAACACCATGGTAGATACAATTGGGTGGAGAGTTCAGCACATACATTTGTTCGGCCCTTCCTAAACAAGGAGTCGACTACACCAAACCCGATGGTTTTGGAAAAACTGAGAACACTTCAGGGAACCTTCGTATTGCTACAGAGTTGCACACCGAAGGCCTCGGAGGCTTGAGCGTGCTGCCATTTCCCAAAACAACTGTAGAGCGTGCACCTACAGAATAAAGAATCGAACGCTCTGGAACCCTTTTTTTCCGTCTGGCGGTTCAGGGGCTGAGACGAAGTACATAGAGCGCGGGACAAATATTTGTCGTCAACCACCTCTGGATTCCAATTTGCGTAATGTTCACTCGAGAGAGATTCGAACCCGCAATCTATTTTGAGGGAGTCAGAAAGCTTCCCAACGGAGTGACCGGGGGACCAGTGAGTTGGCATGAGTAACATATAGCCATAGATAAGGCCATGGCGGCCACGGCCGGGGCGACAGTGAGTGGCGATCAAGCGCGTTTTGCCACCGAAGGCTGTAAGACCTTGCTTCAAATAGTTCTATCACTATCACATCACTTCTCACGACACAACATACGAAGGTCACATGGTGCATGATTACCCGCTTCTTCTGTCGCTTCCCGCATTGTCTTGCCACGAAAGGACGCCGTATTGACGAAACACAACACACACCCATGTAGTTAGTCTATTCTAGGCAAAGATCAAATAGAAGCACGCCAACACTCTTAGTGCAAATAAAGATGTTGTGATTCGGAACCCTACACACACGAACCTATTATAACAAAACGACCGTTTGAATTAGATTGCAACAAGAAACGAAAACTCTTGGTGTTCTAGACTACAAGTCTTAAATGCTACAGCACAATTCCTCACGCGCACCTAAATCCACTTATTATCTACAATGACACCGACATAAGCTATCGATTCGCCTTGGACATACCGTTCAGGCCTGCCATTTAGAATGATATGCACACTCCAAAACTCCCAAAACATCACCATGTGTGCGAATGAATCTGTGAGTAGGCCTTAACCACGGGGTCATGTACCGCGTAACATCATACCGTCGATCGCATCATCGGTAGCAGGGGATAACCCCCCACCTGGCCTGAGGCGCCACATCGATGCCGCGACCTGCATTAGTACGAGAGTCTCCAGCATTCGAAGCAAACTAGTAATGCACTTTTCCAACCGCGAACACCGTCCGCAGCCGTTCCGTCGGTGATGCCAGTCGCGATTCCCGCATTGCCGTCCTCTTCGTGAGCGCTCTTTAATACCATCACACCACAACCAACCAGCGTTTGAAGCTGCGTGGACCGCCCCGCAAAATAAGTTGACGCCCCCATCCCTGACAGCATCGCACAGCTCCATGCTCCTTTCCTTCACGACGACATGCACTACCTCATCTAGCCGCGTCCCCACCCGAAGAAGAAGAAGAAGCGACGGCGTTTTCTACGGCTGAGGGCGACGAAGAAGAAGAAAACAACTTCCCTACAAACGGCAACCGTTTGAACGAGTCCAACAGGCGGCCACGTGGAGAGAAAGAAGAATGGGGCGCCCCCGGCCGGACAGGGGTCGGTGAGGCGCTCGGGACCAAGACGCCCTCCGCCCGAAAGAGGCGGATCTCGCGCTGCTCCAGCTCGGACGCGTCGACTATTCGGCGGAACCCCTCCGTCTCGACGAAATCCCTCTGAAAGTTGGTCTGCACTCGTCGCCAGGTGGGTGGGAGGACAAGCCAGGGCATTCAGAGGCGAATATGTGTGCTTGTTAAGCTGGGTGCCTCCAAAGCAAGCGCAAGAATCCACTCTGATATTCGTGTGTCGGAAAGCGTATTGTCCGGCTTTGTCGGAGGCAAGAACAGATCTACACGTAGACATTGAAGTGTTCAATGTGCAAATTTTGCAGAGGAGGGCGGCACTAGCGGCGTGCACGATACAGGTGTAACGGCCCTAACAGATCTTCGCATCTGCGGGAAAGGTACCGCAAAGTGCGAGTGATCAGATACGGCTTTCAAAGCTCAACTGCTCCATACCACCAAACGACTTTCAAAATTCGGTCGCGGCATACCCTTTTAGGGTGGGACGAAACTGACCGGTGCTTGCAAGGAAAGACAGACCTCGAAGAGGTACCTCCAACCCAACCCTGTTAGGCAATGACAGGACTCTTGGCTGTGGTGCAATGTATCTATGAAAGTCTGTCTGAGGGGTGCGATATCACTCGAACTTTTACCGCATTTCGCTAAAAAAGCGAAACGTTCCCCGGACTTGGTACATCAACGATGTCGAGGTATGCAACAGGACTATCATTGTTTCCTTTTTGGCGCCCAAACCTGTAAGAATGGCCTGTGGACGGCATTGGGGCGTATCACTCTAAGCATGAAACGGGTGAATTTACAACGGTGGTAGGAAGGGGCTTTAGACTCAACGGCAGTCATGTTTGTTTCGTGTTACCTCCATAACGGCCAGGACCTCTGCTCTAGCGCGGTCGAAGATGTCGTAGGCCGTCACGTCCGTCGACAAAATCTCCTCCCGGCACTCCCCCGAAATGTTCACCTGCCAACCCGACACCGATGCGGCAGAACAAACACGAGAACCTTCAGAACAGAACGCTCGTGGAGTAGTGCGGTGTCGTGCCGCTGGTTGAGAGAGGGCAGGCATGTGCTCAGCGTTTTCGATATAATTAGGCTTGTCGACGTGCTAATGGTATCCTACGCTTCGTTATGTCGTGCACGTATATAGGTCAACAGCATCGAAGCTAGCCGCGGTACTGGGATGAAAATTAAACATTGGCAACACTTGTCCACACCTGATCAGGACTCCCTTCCCTGATGTACTGTTCCACGATTCGCATCGTCGCCGCCTGTAGAACCATCAACCGGGGGGCAGAGTGACGACATCTACTGTGAGGTATCTGTCAAGGAAATTCTTAGATGAGTCCTTTCACTCCCTTTACGGGAAAAAATCAGCGGACGTGTCAGACGAATGTTTCAACCTCCTCCGGGGCCATTACCAGTAGTTCCATGTTGGCGCACCATCGACATACTGAAAGAAAGCATGGGTGGTATGCCAATATCACCGTGTAACACGGCCCATTGTGGCGCAACTTCCACAGAAGAAACAAACCACCAAACTAAAACGAACAAGTCGGGTTTCAACTTGCGCCTACCCGCAAGCAGAGCCACGGGGGGCTAGCCCTTCCTACGACTACTGCTTACAAAATCAGCATTCAATCGGATGCCTAGATTCGTTGTGATCGGCGTGCTACAGGTCAAATTACCTCACGCCGATACACCACTTATTGCATCTGTTGGCCCACGGACGTGAGAAGCAGCGTATCACAACCCACGCGGGTTCTATTTCTTCCAGAGCTGTGGAGCGTTTCACTTTCGAAGGACGACTCAGTGTGAAGCTCCATAGCAACATATTGAGGCTCACAATTAGCACCCCGTGATTCGAAACGTGGCTGTGGTAAGACATACGAGCACCTAGCAATGCTCTCTGCGAAAACAAGGACAAACATCAAAGGCTTATGGGTACGTCAGTGGGCAGGTAGGCGGTAGAATGAGATGAAAACAGGTGGGCGGTAGAAAGAGATCAGAAACTTTCAAAAACCGAGCCAGTACTTTCATAACTTCAAGGGGCGATCGCAAGAAACCCTTTCTGTAAAGCACCCCTTCTTACTGCCGCTTCTTCACCTGTCTGCCGAAGTAGCCCTTTATCTCCTCCCTGTCTAATGAGTCGAGGTAAAAGTCCACCAGCTCTTGGGCCACCTTCGTCTCGATGTATCTCCGAAACTCGACCCGAAGTTGCTCTACGGACAGCTGCTCCGCCAAGCTAGCCTTGAGCTGAAATGGTGTGCGTGTGCGATTGCGAACCCAATGGAACATAAACCAAAGTATGGTGAAACACGATACATGTTATTGTGACACCTCGGGACTTTGTGACAGATGGTATCGGTTGAATGAGCAACTGATGCCTCTGTAGTGCGTGCGTACTATAGGCTTTGGATTCTTATTGGGGGGGAGCTTGCGTGGATCCCTCACTCCCTCAATGCAGTGCAGAACGAAACCTGTGGCATTCGTTAGGCCTGGGATAAATCAGTGAAATACTGGAGGGGTATGTATGAATCGGCCAGAGTACACTCAAAAATAAGCTCGACAAATGCCGTTAGGCTGATTGATGGAGTCCTACCATCCAAAACGCAAGTTTCTTGAAAGCTACCATAGGAATACGAACTCGGGATAATTCGTAAGGGCAAAAGCGTGGGCGTCCACGCTTTTAGTAGTAGTGCTCCTGCCTGCGAGTGAAGATGATTCCGGCTGTAGTCCGCGTGCTCAAACCAAGGGGGTCACGGCTACCGAGCCGGAAAAACGACTGCCAGCCGCGGGCGGATCATGCTCGCAGCCGCAGGCACCACAAGCCCAACCCGTTACAGACATGTCACTCATGGGTCGCCAAAGCCGCGGATGCACAATCATTTGCTGACAAGCACGTGCAACCAGCAGCAACAACGACCCAGCAAACAATGTACTGAAAGCATGCTATAATAGGCGTGAGCGATAATCCCCGAACCTGCGCGGGTGAAGGCATCTCCGAGAATCCCTTGGTAAAGGACCACAGGTAGTCCTCGTCTCCCGTCAACTTCTTCACCATAGGCTCCCCTATGGAGCCCATTAGCAGCGTGTAAGTCGACAGCACCGGGTCTGGATCATGTCATGGCCGGAGCAAAGGGGTAGAGGGACGCAAGCGGTAAAGGGGCTATCCCATCATTTCCTCGCGATCTGTCAACGTCTTCATCGCTGATACATTTCTCAATGGGGACGACGGCTTCAGGTCATGACCATTGGTGCATCGTCCCCCAATATCCTAAAACCAGGCAGCGAACCGAATGCCCACCAAAACCATCTCGAACAATGGTCACCGCTAGCAGCAGAAGGACATAGCAGCACACACCAGTAGCAATACAAGCGGTTTACCGCCACGGCAGCATCGTGATCGCTACTTCCTTCATCGCTAACGTCTGCGTTGGACGAGGAAGATTCAATCAGGCCAGTCATCTTCAACTAGCCGCCGGCCCATGTTCCAAAAACATAACCCCACCAACAATAGTCACCTCAAGAGAAGGAAACGGCAGCAAACATAAAACAACAACAGGAACACGAAGGGAGACAGCGACTCACACACAATGGCCACTCTTCTGACGTAAACATGTCGGTTGTTGAGGATTATGGCCACCACGGCCGCGTAGCTGAACAGGAGCAAAGTCAGGCAAGACAGGGTCCACTTCATGGCCTCGTACTCGTTGAACTGCTTCCGGACCCACCTCAGCTGACGGGTGCACACAAACCTGTTTCGGTACAGCATCGACGGAATAGGACACAGGAAGCCTGTTGATGGAACGCCAAGAACAGCAGATAATGAATCTCCAACTCCAACTGCAACAACAACAATGGCAACGCTACGGAGGCGACCATCACCACCACCAACAACAACACGCCCTCAAATCTGAAGCATACCCTCCGCCGCCTTAATTGACATTACCGCAAAGCCACCCATTGCGCCTCACCAAAGATAGCAGATGAGGTAGAACCCCAGGGCATTCATCGCCAGGACCACGTTCCTCGAATCCGTCGTTGTGTTGCAAGAATTGACAGTCTCGTCGAAGAAATGGAGATCTGGGACAAGTACGGCCGCCAGCAGGGGGCCCAGGCTGATACTCGACATCAGCATGACCTGGTACCTGACGGGTGGGGGATGGGTCGAGCGTTTCGGGTCATGCACCATATTTGGACATTTCTTGGACCGGTCCATGTGCCTCTTCCGTCGCCGTGATCCTGTCCATGAAATGGTCCATTGTGGTCCATAATGTTCCAAAGCGGCTCATCAGACCCTCCATGTTGTGCCACTAACCGAACCGTGGGAAGTATTAGAACCCCAAAGTGGACTGGTGTCATGGCACGGACCATGACCCGGTTCAATGTCTGGTTCATGACACATTCCATGAAGTACCTCAAACCGGACGGTGGGCCGAACCGCGGAACGGACCATGAATCGTTCCCAGACACCGGAGCATGGGGAAGATACGATACTTCATGGGCGCCGAAAAGGAGACCAACACAAAGAGCGACAATCGAAAAAGTCCACAACCCCTAGGGGGACAACTCACTTTGCGGGCCACATGCTGTCGTCGTGCTTGATCAAAATCCTCCACATCCGGTAAACCCGAACGGCAAACGACATGATGTGCACTGCTAGCGTCGACCACGACAAGGTTGTCTGCATTGCAAACGGCGGCGTTACGGGTGGGAGGGGAGGGTAAGATGAAGACACGGACAGGAAGGGTGACAAATGACAATCCACTCCTGATTGTCT